TCTACCCAATGCTATAGACAGCAAGCTGTTTTGGCCATAAGGGCCCCATCAGTCCAGCTACGAGCTGTAAGTAAGCGGAGCTACCAGCCACGGTGAAAAGGTGGTACCACAGACATTAAGATAGCTCGTTGTCCTAGCGCCAGAGTGCTCTAACTACGGAATGTAGCGAGCGATGCGTAATGCAGCCGCACTAGAGCAGCCTACCGAGAGTGCTTGGAAAATAAGGTTTACGTCTGACTCAGTTAGACTGCCATGACCTGGCAGCCCTGAACAGCTTCTGAACTCATGCTAGAACATTCAGTGCAGAACAGACCATGAAACGCAAGTGACGGAGTGGAGACTTGGACAGCCCGAATTGATTAGCATGTAACCATAGCAACACGCATGCTATGTGCTTAGGGACCGTCCACGGGTACTAGCTACTATTGGGCGTCGAATATTGAAATGAATATTTTGTTCGACTTTCTTTTACCTGCAGGAAGAGTGGCTGGGTGTGCTGGGGCTGAAAACACTAAAAACGTTTCACTTTGAAAAAAATAATCGGTAACCTCGGACAGCCCCTTACCTGATTTCTCGGAACAAACAACTGCAACGCTTTCTTCTGGTAAGAATGCCGATGGATTCTTCGCCCATTCTCGGAGGTCCGCCATTGGCTTTGTGTCGTGTCCATGCTCGTCCCGGATCTTCACAGCGTAATTATGCTCTTTACTACCGGCGATGTGAATCCCCACAACATAGCCAGTAGCAGAGGCCGTCTCAGCTTCGCCTCCTTTGGGCAGAAGGAAGACGGGCGAGCCACTTTGCCCACCGGTAGAATCAACAAAGTGGTGAAGGTGATGGTCGTGCTCTGCAAACGTAGCAAGGCGGTCCTCCTTAACCCAGTATTTGCATTTCTTGGCCGGCTTTTCTATGCCACCATACAGGGTGTAGGTTGGGTATCCGCACATGCGGACGCCTTCCTCCTTCTTGCACTGGGTTGCAACGCCAAGAAGCTTATCTGCCCATTTCACCAACGGACAAACTTTGCTCGTCTTGACCGCTATTATCCCATAGTCGTGTAGATATTTCTCGTTAGTCTTCTCCGGATCCTTGGCGTTGTTCTTGTACCAGGTAGGAACGATCAACCCGCCATAATCGTTCTTGCGGGATATCTCTTCGCTGGTCAGGGGAGGCGCGGAGAGATCTTTGTAGATTCGTACCCAGAGCCAGTCGCCGCAACGGTTGCAGACCAGATTATGTGCGGCAGTGGCGAAGATGATGTAATCCTTGGTAGCTGCACTGTTCAGATCGCTGAGTAGGAAGCACGTTCCTTGATAAGAATCCCCCGTTGCTTTGTCGCAATCGCCGCAGCCGACCTCCAGAGCAAATATGGAATGAAAGGGACTGGCCGTTTCAGCGGATGGCTCGGCCACGGTCACTCGCTCGTCCTCGCGCAGCTTTAGGGCCCTTACACACTACGTAGAAAACCGCTTTTTTGTTGCGTTCCTGTAAAAGTTGCCATGTCGACTGACGTCATATGGCACGAAATCTAAAAAGTTGCGTAAACGTTTTACTCAGATCTCGGACGGGTGTAGAAGGCTGCTTTTTAGCTTTTTAGCTTTTATGCCTTCCCGCGCTTTCGGACTTCAACTTCTTGTTGGTGTTTTTGCTGTTTGGTGCTGTGTGGATTTCCGTGTTTCAATTTCAGCTGTCCATTGGACTTTTCGCCTGCTTCTGAAATTCTCGTACCTGAACTCGTGTTGTTCAAGCCGTAGTAGACTCGATCTTGTTTGATTGCTGAGCGCGACACGATGCCGAAAATCCAAATCCAGTGCACAGAAGAAATGGAGGCGAAGCTCATGGAGCTGTGGGCGATATATCAAAAAACAAGGCGTTCCAAACTCGTTCTCAGGGTGAGCTGTCCACAAGTTGCGACCAATTCTGTATTTGACGGTACCATTCCGCAACAGCATGCTGAGCATCGTCGTGACCATGAAATTTGAGCAACTGCGATCAGTCATCTAGAAAATATCAAGAACAGGACCGCCATCAGACGACTTCACTAGCTTCTGCAGGTCCTGCAATATCATGGCGGCAACAATTTTACGTCGCCGCTTTCTCCTTGCCGGAGTCAACCTGAGCTCCATGGGCATGGCTCCAACACAAGATGCAGAACGAAATCGAAGAAGCACACACAGCACTCGTTCTGAGAGCAGAACATTTCATCCGAACTGCACTACATCAGTACAGTCATGTACGTAAAAAGCAGATCACCTGTCAGTGTGCAACTGCACTTGATCAGGCTGGCGCATACGCAACGTATGCTCAAGTTAGTTGCGTTTTACATGTACGTAGTGTGTAAGGGCCCTAAGGCAATTTTCCGCGTCTATCTCTGCAGCTGTAACCATACTCGCGCCTGGTTGGGCCATGACAGAAGATTGCCCCTCCGCCATTATGCTAGTTCAGGTCAGCGCCCAGTTCACGACTCCCTGTACTGGCTGTAGCTGTGCAGATAACAAAAGCTCGCACGTTCGCGTTACCATGGTTACCACCTGTACCTAGTACTGCAGTACTGTGCAGTGCCAGTGGTGAGAAACACCACCGGTCACACATGCACTTTTTTGGCGGTTCCGCCAAAGCGGGCCCGGTCCCATGCACTTGAGAGTTGCGGATCCGCTGCAGCGGTGTCGCAACAGCGTGTATCACCATGGAAACTGCGAGTAGCGGAACTTCCGCCGTGGCGGAAAGTTCAAATCCGCTACTCCAAAATTTTTGGAGCGTATACTCTCCTGCGGAAGTTCCGCTCCTGCGACACTAGTCTGACATAGTGAGCGATTTGTGTTGTTCGATTTTATTTTCGATCATGAAGTGGACAGTTTGACTTTAGTCAGAGCAGCTACGGCTACAGTTGTACATGTATGTTGAAGTCAAGACTCGTTTGGCCAAGGGATGAAGAGAGATACGGAGCGATAGGTGGATAGCCGAGAAGCTGAAACCGACGGCTGCGGCGTCGGCCAAAGACCAAATCCCGGACCTGTGAGCAGCCAAGCATGGCCATCATGTAAAACCACGCAGTCGGACCACTGTGATGTAGGTCTAGCAAGAGCGATACATCTACCACTATTACCAGTATCTGTAGCAGTTATCATTGCCATTGGTTATCGTCGACAACAAGTTCGTACTAGTATTCAGCAACAAAATGTCGCTGCGGTCTCCATTGCCTGTCGACAACGTCTCGCTAATCGACCTCTACCCAACGGAAAATCCATTCTTTCAGATTACTAGTATAGTATACAGAACAAAGACTCAAAGTCAACAATACCGAACCCACGACATGTAGCTAATGCTTGATACTCAACAAAAACAACGACCTGTCCAACACCTAGTATCTACATCATTTATTTATCAACAGTACATCAGTGCTGCGTTGATGTGTCCACAAAGGACGAAACAGTTCTGTCCACAGACACAGTACTGACTGTACACCATCACTGCATCAGTACGTGCACGCGTACTTCGAAGTGAAAGCATGCTTGAGTGGACCGTATGCGTGTTAAAACAAAATGGCGTCACGATTTATTGAAAGTGGTATAGTTGGTGGAACGAGTGTTCAAAACCATTTGAACTTCATACTGTTCGTCTTCTTTTTGACATGCTCTCTTTCCATCGTCCTTAGCTTTTGTTTGTTGTGAGCTGTTTTGGGTTTCTCCTATACCTCTGGGGGATGCCAAGTGATGGTTTTGATAGGCTGGTGATGGCTGTGAGCGAGAGGTTGCCGATCGGCGTCGTCCTCGCTATGGCGATGAAAATACTACTAGTTACTGCGAACCTGGCAGATATCACAACACGTCGGAGCGTCCAGGAGCAAAGGAATCTTGGGTTTTCACTGGAATCTAGTTCCTCCAGCATCGTGTAGCCCACCGTCGGTGAATGGCCGTCCAGAAAGGTCGAACCTGGTCTTCTGCAGCATCTCGCAGTCCTGCGAGGCACACTGAATACGCCTGTCATGTATTCTACAAATAAAAATCACGAAGTAGTGGATTCTATAGTGATGAGTCTATCCTGTACGCTGCAAAAGACACAGGAAATGTGACTGGTGTCTGTACACTGGACGCCAATATCCCAGTCTTCTCCTGCAGGATCTGTTTGGCATTGACATACCGGTATGCAGTGGGTCGACATTGGCCTGGTTTGGCAGGTATCTGCCTGGGTGGATGTAGCAGGTTTGCATTGGCTCGTCGTCCAGTCCGACATTTTCCTGTAACTGTGGAGTACCAGCAGGGTTTGAGAGGTTGCTCATGCTGTGAACACATCTCTACTGCCTGTCTCGTCCTGGAAGTGCCGTCTCGCCGCTTCCTTGCTCTACAGTCGCGCTTATTTCGCTTTGTTTCGTGGTGCAGCTCAAAACCTGCTCAAACAACTGTGAGTTCGCAACATGGTATGGACAAATTGCACCACTCATGCTGGATGACTAAAACCGGGATAGTCGAGTAAGCGAGTTCACTCCCTGGGCCATGGCAAGATCTGTTCAGCGCGGGCTATTCCAACCTCCAAGTGCATAGTCACCGATCGATCCATGCGATGGTGGTTGACCTACAAAGAGCCAAGGTCTACGAGTACTACTATTGGATGCTGTCTACATGCAGTCAACAAAATCAAAGTACCTCAGTATGCCCCAGAATAGGGCATGTGCATCTATAGCATGACACAACAGGGGTTCTGGCGGCACCTGTCAAACAAGCAGTAGCGACTAGTGCCAGCTACCTATTGGAGGCTAGCCGCTACAGTCTGTCACTGGAGATAATTATTATGTTCACTGTTTAGACTGAGCACAATCAATGATGTCCAATCAATCTGCCCAATGTGTGTTCTGTTCCACCTAATTATAACGTCCCATCACATCAACCCTACTACACGCACATGTCGTCACTCTAGCATGACTTGTGTTATTATTGTTTATTTTGATTCGCACGATAAATAGAGCACAATAAACGTTAACTTGACCGAAGGATAAAGGCGACTGCAGATAGAGGAACACATCGAGGTACAGGTACCGGCATCAATACAGTATCAGAGAGAAACAAACAAAAATGAGAGGTACGCAGAAAAAACTCTCGTAAGCCCAAGGGGAAGTGGTTGATGAGGGATGAATGCACTCTCCACGCTCATCTACACTGTTCGTGGAAATGCACACATACATACAATAATATACAACATAGCAATAGCATGCACAGAACCGAACAATTTCATGTTCACACATGCAAGCACAGACCTGAACATTAGTACCAAAAGCCGATACAGACAATTTCCCCATACACACAGACGCACACACACACACAATGTCCAATGTATGCGCCCGTGGCGAGAAAAGCACGCAAATCTACAAATGCACTGGATGAGAACCCACAGATTTTCTCTTATAGCAACGATAGCGGATCTGATTCTGAATGAAACACACACAAACAATACAATCATTGAATGCCCATCCGCAGATGATGGCAAGTCCTGAAAGAACAGGCAGTGTTCCAGTAATGGGGAACAGAACTTCGAGTGGCGAGTGAGGTATACACACACACACACGTGCGTGCGCGGGCACACACTAAAGTATTCAGAAATAGAATCGACATTGTAGTATTCATTGGTTGGGGAATGAAAAGAAAAATAAAACATTGATGTAGGTTATTGTTGTAAGGACACTGGGAGCACAACAGAAAGGTAAGCAACTTGCTTTGAAGCAAAGAAAGTTATTATTCCACGGATCTCAGAAGGAAGGAACGTTCCAGAATGCTGCACTGGCAACAGGCGGTCTGCATGTGCGCGGCCCCTGCAGTCGGTCCAGCTGCTGGCCTTGCAGTGCTGAAAAGAATGTGCAGTACAGCATGTCACATAGTATCGCAGCCTGGACAAATAGGCGCTGGGAAGTCCTAGTTATGTGCTCACCTACACCACGATGCACCAATCTTCTGAGCTACTTTGGCAACAACTTTGTCCACTTGAGACTCCCATGAGCTCAGCCAGTTGTTGAGGGCTGCACCAAGGTGGACGGCAATGACCGCTGATGGCAAGGCAATCCATAACACACAGTCACTAGGGCATCGTCAACAAGCTGAGGCTGGATCAATAAAATCAACCTTTAGGCTGTCGCGGGGTTGACAACGAGGCCACTGTCTCGAAGCTAGTCAGTCAGCCTGGTCACCGCCATTGACGAACCAGTCGCCACCGCCAGCAGTGGCGGTAGGTCGTGACAAGTGTGGTGCAATATTGTCAGCAAATTCAGTACTTAGGATAAGATGAGTGACAAAGGGAACGTTGTGTTTGATAATATTGAAGTGAACAGGGATGATCACAAACCCTGCGCGTACTCCACCGTGAGTTACAAGAAAATTCCGGACTGGACGACGAGCAAACGCCAACCTGCTACATCCAACCAGGCAGATACTATTACGATAGCTGCCAAACCAGGTCAATGCCGACCTACTGCATAATGTCAATGTCAAACAGATCCTGCAGGAGAAGGCTGGGGTGTTGGCGTCCAGTCACTGAGTGTACAGACACCAGTCACATTTCGTGTGTCTTTTGCAGCATACAGGCTGAGACACATCACTGTAGAGTCCACTACAGCATGAGTTATATTTGTACAATACATGGCTGGCGTACACGGTGTGCCTCGCAGGACTGCGAGGTGCTGCAGAAGACCAGGTTCGACCTTTCTGGACCGCCATTCACCGACGGTGGGCTACACGATGCTGGGGGAACTAGATTCCAGTGAAAACCCAAGATTCCTTTGCTCCTGGACGCTCCGACGTGTTGTGATATCTGCCAGGTGCGCAGTAACTAGTATTTTCATCGCTACAGCGAGGACGACGCCGATCGGCAAACTCTCGCTCACAGCCATCACCAGCCTCTCAAAACCATCACTTGGCATCCCCCAGAGGTACAGGAGAAAGCCAAAACAGCTCACAACAAACAAAAGCTAAGGACGATGGAAAGAGAGCATGTCAAAAAGAAGACGAACAGTATGAAGTTCAATATTAATGGTTTTGAACACTCGTTCCACCAACTATACCACTTTCAATAAATCGTGACGCCATTAAAATATTTGTTTTAACATGAATATCGCGGGTTGCAGGAGAGCTGCACTGAATTTTTTGGA